CTAGTACCGCATGTCGATGTCTCCCTGTCCTACGACTCTCCCCGGACTGACATGCACCAGAACACCATAGATCCCATCATGCGGCAAGCACAGAAATCGTACGCCACTGGGGTCGTATATCAGGTACCGCTGCAGAGCGAGTTTCTGTCGAGCCAGACGACGTCCTAGGCCTACTGTCGGGCTCATCCGTGACCTCGGATTTGTTTCCCTGCGTGCCGTGCAGCGAGAACCACTGGGAGGCTCACCAATGTCGGATCCAGGCCCAAGCGAAGTCCACTATACAGTGCGCATATGTCCGGGCAGTCCGCATTCGGGAGTTCCTTGCTCTCGTGCCCCCCGTGCTGGTCCCCTTCAGCAGTGACTCGGTATCGACGTCGATTGCACTGATGAGCATGGTCCCATCCTACCCGAGGCAATTTGGACTACCGTCGCCCTTTGCGTTTCTGGTAGTGACTAGTATGCATTCATTATGTACGTTCAATTTTATCTGCGCTTCCAATAAATACCAGATGCCGCGGTACACACGGCGAGGGTGGTCTAGTCTCCGTTGCAGACGATGAAAGCCGGCGAGCGTCTTCTATGGTCTGCATCTGTACGCGGCGCTCTGGCCGCGAGCGACGTCTTCGGCTTGCGCTGAGTGCTTTCAAAGGGGAGGGGAATGGCCATTGGGATCCGTCTTACAGCCGGTTCATACGATCTGGGAACAATACCGAGTTGATACCAAGTGACATGAAATGTGTTCAAGCTGTGGAAGAAAGTAAAATGAATTGCATTAAGGGGGAATCGAACCCCCGGCGGGTCGAACCCGTATGAGTGGCAACGACCCAGGTTACCACTACCCCATTAATGCCCATGCATGTACTGTTTTACCGGACCTAACGAAGTAATCATCATTTCGCACTCAGATCATGAAGACTTCGCTCAAGCTACGCTTCGGGACCTCGAAGCTTGTCGTTGATCTTCCCCATCGCAATGGCCGCAACAAACACGGTTCGGGTAGCGTCTGCTGCGTTGCATACCAAGCACAAGAAGCCTACCTCATCAGTAGGAGCACCTGCACAATATAAGCAGAGTAGTCGGAAGGGCAAGAAGGCATGGCGGAAAAATGTTGACATAGAGGAGATTGAAGTCGGCATGGAGGAATTACGAGAGGAGGAGAGGGTTACTGGGTGAGTTGTCGTGTGAACGGAAGGTAGAAGAGGCAACGTCATCTAATGCTGCGACCATCTTAGGTCAATACTTCACAAGAAGACGGACGAGGAGCTCTTCCAAGTGGACGTGAGAGGAGACGAGCATGGTGTGTCCCCTTGTTTCGCTTATGTATGTCATAGCTCAGATTGATCTGTCATAGTCCGGAGAACACAGCCCAAGTTCTCGAAAGCCCTCCTTACATCCACGAAAATACTCGCGCAGCGATCCGCCATCCCGGCCGTCTTCTCTCGAACGACCGCCAACCCGCTCAAACGCAAGGCGTTGACATACGAAGAGAAGGAGCGCCTGCTACGGATTGGGAAGCGTCCGAGGAAAGGTCCGTTCAATGCGATCGTCGACCCGACGGAGATGGGCGCAGGGAGTGCAATGCTCGAGGTCAGTGAGGCGGCGAAGCAGGGCGGGACATACGACGTCTGGGGAGATAATCCTGTACAGGATGCAACGACGAAGGTACGCCTCGCCCATCTGTTCATACCACACGGCCCACGGACTCACGAGTACATGCAGTCTAAGACGCCTAACCCTCGCTCGCACATCGCCCTACCCGCTGTATCCGCCCCACACGAAGGCACTTCCTACAACCCACTTGTTACTTCACACCAGGAGCTTCTCCGTACCGCCCACGAGATCGAGGAACGCCGTCTCAGAGAGGCCGAGAAGCTCGAAGAAGTGAAACGCAGGATGGACGCAGCGCGCGCCGCCGTGCTCGAACAGCAGGAGGGCGTCGCATCCGGGATGACCATCCAGCCTATCGATGACGCAGATGCAGATGCGGCAGAAGAGGACACAAAAGACCTCCCACCCGTGAAGACGGTGCCTGAGAGGAAGACAAAGAAAGAACGAAGAAAATTGGAGCGACTGCGTGCGGAGAAGCGCGCTCTCGCAGAGTCCGTCGCGCGAAAACGCATGCTTGCTTCTGTAGACTCGGCGAAGGCGATGCGAAAGGCCCTCGGGCGGAAACTCGCGGCGCAGGAGCGACTGCATGCACAACGACAGGAGAAAATGCGGGAGAAGCTACAAGGTGGTTTGGCAGGGCAGCGGTTAGGGAGGCACAAGGTGCCGGAGGGCGAGATGGATGTACAGCTAGGGGAGGATCTCACTGAGAGTCTGCGTGCACTTAAGGTCGACGGCTCCTCAATCTCAATTGCCGAAGTCATGGGCTGATTATTATGATGCAGCCCGAAGGAAACCTATTCCGCGATCGGTTCTTGAGCATGCAACATCGTGCGCTCATAGAGCCTCGCGTCCCTGTTCTGTATGTCCCTTTCGCAAGACCTTTACGCAACACAATACTGACACTTCCAACAGGCCGAAGAAACGGAAGTTGAAGATCAAGGAGTACGAGAAACACTCTTACAAGCGTTTCGACAGGGATTGATGAAACTTCTTGCTCGCCTGCGATTCGCCGTTGCGCTTGCTGCATTTTTTGTGGTTATCGAACAGTGCACACACCGTCTGTTCGGGACCATCTTCATCACATCCTATGTATAAGCAACGGCCCTCATTCATTGACATAGCGACACAGCGTAAGAAGAACAATCTGAGGATGATGTACAGCATTGATACAGTGGTTGTTGGAACATAACCTCAAGACATGTAGTAGTCGCTGAGCAGATATTCACTCGTATGGCCAGTAATCTGGCTTCGGGGAGCCTTCACAATCAAGTCCGCTTGTTGGCTGGAGAGCAGAGTGAGCTTTACGCATTAAGACTGGAGAGAGCGGACGTACAGCCTCATGCGGAGCAACAGCTTGCGGTTGGCGACTTGCATGGTTTCTCCAGATTTAATCGCGCGTGCGAAGAGCGCGCTGCGCTGATCTGTTTCCTTAGCTTTGAGGATCTGCAGTTGACGTCAACACAGAAGCACGCAGTCGGGCAGACTACCGAGCATGTACCTTGTTCTGCCTGTCGACGCGCGCCTGGATCTCGCCAGACTGGATGAGCGTGACGACCTGCCTCTCGAGCTCCTCGACGGTCCACCCGAAAGCGGTGCTCATCCGCTCGAGCTTGATCGACGCGAACGGCTGGAAATACTGCACGAGCGCGCGGCTGCGGATCTGGTTCGTGAGGGCCGCGATGTGGTACGCGAGGTGCAGGTCGAGTGCGTGACGCGTCTGCTCATGGGCCAAGTCTCATTCATTTACAGCGCTGCGTGCACAGCAGACGGAGACACGCACGGAGTAGCGCTCGAGGATCTCAAGCATGAGCTTGAAGCGGTTGCCCATGTACGACTCGAGCAGCTCGCGCACGTACGGCTCCTGCTCGATGTACACGCCGAAGTTGTCGTTGTTGAGGATCTGCTTGCGGATCTGCTGCCGACTGAACGTCGACAGCGCACAGAGCGTGGTGTAGATGGCGACGTCACTTGGGGCGATGAGCTGTGGCAACTGATCAGTACAGAACGCGGCAGGTGCAGCGAGGGACTCACCCTCCCTGCCCAATCACCCAGGGACTTGACGGAGCCGACTTTCAGGAAGGCCTGGGCGGCCTTCTCGAAGTTCCCTTGGCCGAGATAGGAGAGCGCGATGCTGACGTCGAGCTTGCTTTGCACCTTCTCCCGCTCTGCCGCTGCCTTGTCCTTGCCTGTGGCGGCAGAGGCGGGTGCGGTCGGCGCTGCGGCCGGTCCACGTGCGATACTAGTGGCGTCCAATGCAGCGTCCGCCTTGAAGACGTAAGTGGACATGTGCGCGTAGTTGCGGTGTTCGATGAGGAGCTGTATGCGGCATCAGAATTGAAGAGCGAGGATCTCAGAATGAACGGATATCGTGCGAATGTCTACAACTACATAGTAGAACTAGCCCGCATGGGTAATATTAAGGCGGAGTAGGTCAACTGATCCCAGACAGCCTTAGTGCAGGCCTACTAGGATAAGTTGAATGTATGGCATTACATTCAGCCGTGCGTCGTTTTCATATTTGACCGCCAAGAAGAGCCTGAAAGGCAACTCACCTCAAGAACAGAGAGGCACATTTCGAGGACATGTTGACTGGTCGTACAGAATTCACGCGACTTCGTGTAATGTTTCAGCGCAGTGGCATGGTCGCCAGTGGCCCGGTAGAAATCGCCAAGATCCCTGTACGCCATCTATATCGCTGTAAACACTAGGTCAACTCATAAGCGCACAGCCCACACACCCGAATACTCTCTTTGATCATGTTGCTTGTGTACGTCTTGAGCTCTGTCTCGAGCTTGACACGTTGAGCCTGGTTCTTTTGCTTCATATCATCCAGCCAGTGTTGGTTGAGCTGATGAACATCAGCGAGAGGAGGAAGCTCGCCGTTGGAAGCAATCGCCGTTTGTTCATACGACGTCACGACTGCGCGGTATAGGGTGGTGTCGCTCATCTGCAAGACAAGCTCAAGGGCAGCCTGGAATGCAGGCAACGCCAATGAAGGACATTGGGAGATCACTTGTATATAACGCTCAACAGCAGACCGCCCTGAGCACCAGCAAGGAGTTCAGCAATACCCACCCGCCCAATGTGGATGTCCATACCTGAATACCCAGAACTGATAATCTCTAGTTCAAAAGGGTGCGCTTCGTCGACAGCTAAAGGTCGCTTTCCGGCAAGTTTGATCGATTCGAACTGTGGTACATTCTCTTCGATAATGTCGATGTCCATGACGGACGAGGTCTCGGATGAAGTGAGGACGCAAGTGCACCAGCCTGAGGCGCGCTCAAGGCGCGCTTGTGGCAAATACAGCACGCTCATTCAAGTCGTTGCTCAAGGCACGCTGCAGTGAAATAAAATTGTTGATCGTATTTTATAAAGCACCCAGCCTTATAATAGGGCATTTGGCACAGTGGTAGCGCGCACGCTTCGCATAACTAGCCACCTGGTTGGGCTTGCGTGAGGTCCAGGGTTCAATCCCCTGAATGTCCATTTTTGTCCTTTACTTGATGGATTGATACACCAGCTATATATAACCTTTCGAGTTGAGATTTTTGCCATGCCCCGACAAATCGGTGTCTACTCTTCATAAGCCACAGGTACAAGTGCTGCGTACTTGCTGGGGTATTATAACGCCTTCGACAATGGTGCGCCGCCATTTGTTAAGCAACGGATACACAATTCAATTGCATGAAATAGTAATGCATTCCAGATAAAAGTCGCCCAGTGATCGAGTTTGAACGCATTGGAGGGTATTAAGCTACTTCGGGAATGCATCCGTCTGCCGGTCTACATATCATGTACGCAACCACGCGGTTTTCGCGATTTTCTTGAGTCTTTTTTGCTCTCTGAACCGCTCCTGCACGTCTGTACTCAGTCTGATGGATACGCCGCAACGGTGGGATCTTCTCACCAAATCCTTCTTCGTTGGTCTCTTCCGCTTTTTGCTCTCCTCTTCATGTGCCTCCTCCAGCTCACGGGCCTCGACCTCCCGTTCCCAAGCGTTAACATCAAAATAGAATTCGCTCATACGCTTCGCCCGCTCATACTCGGACAAGTGCGACGGGTCGCGCGAATCAGGGCGGGCAAACGTCCCTGTGCGCGCGTTGAATTTGGCCGTATATGTGAACGCAGCAGGGTTTGAAGGGCCAGCGACAAGCGACGGGTCGAGGTGCGCGAGTGCAGGGTCGATGCCCTGAGCTGCGGCAGCCGCCTGGAGGTCGTACATGGCGGAGACCGCAGGCGCTGGACCCGGCGATGTGGAGGTGCCTGAGTCGGAGGGATCAGCGGACGCACCGGCTGCAGGCGTGGGCTGGAGCGGGTTTGTCCATGTCGTCTCTTGCGTCTTGGAGTTGTAGAAGTAGTACGCGTTGTGGGCGGGCGACCATATCGCCTGCCAGTCGCCCGCGCTGGCCGTCACAGCGAGCGCGGCTGAGGTGACGGGAGCAGGGGTATTCGATGAGGAGGCAGCAGGGCTGGGAGCAGCAGCAGAGGCGGACTTGTCCTCGACCTGGGGCTTAGGATCTGTGTCCTTGTGCTTCCCCTTTGTATCAGGCGTGTCATCTTTGCGAGGGGTGGTCTGTAAAGACGGTGACGCTACTGAGCTGTCGGACTGCTTCCTCTCCGACTCCTGAGGAGGAGTTGGCGAGGACGAGGCACTGGCAGCGGAAGTGGAGGTCATCATCGAGGTCGAGGTCAAGATGAATTCGAACTCCGACTTCAGCATCACCCTCTTCCAACCACTGCCTCTTTTCTTGCCCTTGACTATCCATCTCAGGTCTACCCGAGACACTGCTCCTAGTATCTGCTCTCATCTACCTAACGGCAAGAGAAACGACTGGTCTGCTTGGGGCTCAACGCGTGAATAGGATAGGAAGTGGCAAGTCTCGCAACAAGCGCTAATACTAATAGTACTGGTGGCTCGGTGAGTGCTAGAGTCCCGAATGGTTTAGGTACTCGGTTCTTTCATTGCTTCGACTCAAACGTAATCGACAACGAAGAGTAGTCTCCTGCACGCTCGAACTAATCGAGAGGGACCCTTCCGTCGTCCGTTCCTCCAAACAGACTCACCCCGAGGGTGAGACGGAATTGGGCCTCGGGGCCACATACCGGGTATTGCATTCCCGGCGGTATGCTCCATTTCCCCGGTGAACTCGAGCAGGCTGTCTCCGAAGGCTACTGACACAGAGTTGCACCCCGATTGAAAGGCGTGAATCATGCGCCTTTCGTTTGGTCGCTTCGCGGTGTACCCCACATGAGCATCGCAAGCACGTAATCGATACTTCAGACCGCGACCTCTGGCCTCTGATTGCACAGATAGCCCTCTCATTCAAACATACACCTCTTGGCAGTGGTATTTGCTTCGAAGGTGCCGTGATCTGACGCGTTCCATCACACAGAGCGCCCCCATCAGCCAGCTTAAAGACGCATCCCACATACCATTGCAGCTTGTCACCACCTCCAATCCCGTCCAGCATGCCGTCTTCACCTGAACGCGACTACCAGCAATACATCCCCCTTCCGCACCTCCGTTCTGCGATGAAGAACTCGTCCCCGCGGCCGTGCACGCCCGGCTCGCCTCCCGCTCGCTCGTCGCCGCTCATTCCCCCGAGCACAACAGTCACTCCCTCGCCGTCTGAGTCGCCATCGACGTCGACGCTCTATGCATCCCCGGGTGAGACTCCGCCGTTTGGTGTGTCCCCACTCTCAACGCCCATACCGCTCGTCGCCGCGCAAGGATACACGCCCAAGGTCTCGTTCGACACGCTTGAGAACCCGCAGGCGAGCATGTTCTCGTACACGCTCCATGTACAGAGCGATGGCTACGTGCGAAATCGCCACACGCGGGTGTTCTTGTGCGCGAGCAGTCCGGATGAGAGTGGCAGACAGGCGCTGGACTGGGCGCTGGAGAGCCTGGTTCAGGATGGGGATGAGCTGATCGTGTTCCGAGGCGTGGATACGGACGAGCTCGGTGCGTAATCATCACCACCTGTGGGACCTTCTCGCTGAACATCGCCTGCAGATAAGGAGCATGATCAGTACCGCGAAGACGCACGCGAGTTGATGCGGTACATCCAAGAGAAGTGCGTCGAAGATGAACCGGACCGGAAGGCATGCATCGAGTGCACCGAATCTGTACTTCTTGTTCTGACATGTCGCCGATCGCAGCTCTCAATCATCGTGGAGTACATCGCAGGCAAGATTCCCCAGACCATCGACCGTCTCATCTCGCTCTACCGCCCAGACTCGATCGTCGTCGGCACGCGTGGCCAGCGGAGCATGATGCAGGCGTGGGGGGCTGCATTTGGTGCGCCGGGCAAGCTGGGGAGCGTATCAAGGTGAGGTGTGTGATTGTTCAGAGCCAGCATCCACTGACATATTATGTTGCAGATATTGTTTGAGTCATTCGCCTGTACCAATCATCGTCGTGCGCCCGGAGGAGAAGGTGCGCAAGACCATGGCTAAGCGCCGCGCAGATCCGAAACGCGGGTCACATTTCGAGAAGTACGTGCTGCCTGGTTATATTCTCCCTGCTCATTGCTCCTCTAACATACGTGTACTTTAGCCTCCACAAGACACGCACGACCGGCAACGGCGTGAATTCCGTTCCACTGATCACGACCCTGACCCAATAATACCTTTCGGCACTGTCATATGTTTCTAACGTCGCGCGTGAACATTTTGGCGTTGGGAGTCAGACTCTGTGCGCTCTACTATAGCCTATGTTTCAAGATTGTATCAATACGTAGTGACTTATTCTTCATAAAGTAATGCGAAAGAGGTTTCATACTTTTCAGGTTGTGTATTTACTCATCTCAGCAGGCTTTGTGCCTTGGAAAGCTCGCACGCCCTAGATTCAAATGTTGCGCCACATCCCACGACTTCTAATAGTTCTGCGGAAAACCTCGGCGGCATTCGTCTATGTATGCAAATGACTGTACTTCAAAACACCCAATCAAACACTACTCTCGGCAAATACGAATGTTCAGTACGTTCAGTAGCTACGTGTAGGCCAAAAGCTACTAAATATGGTTTATGCGCCTCGACGGGCCCAGACAACACCCGAACGAGACCAATAGAACTGATATTTTGGAGGTGTCGCGACGATTCACGGCACACGGAATTCATCTGTCCCTGATCAGATCCCAGTGCAGTTACGGTGAGTAGTGGAGAGGACGTAACAAGCCATGTAATTCCTGTCATAACGGCGGAACGGAGAGCATAGGTTATATGTAGTATACAAGCCAGGGTATCCTCATAAATTTACCGTAGGCCTTTAGGCTTTGCCAGCCGTGGCCACTCTCTTCCTGCTCGCTCGCGGAATGCTCTTCGCACCACCGTCTGCGTTCTGAGCCACAGGCTCCTCTGTCCCGCCCCGGGCCTTTGCACCGCTCCTCGTTGTCTTCGCTTTGGCGCTCGATGCAGCCGTACTCTTCCCCTTGCCCTTGGTTGCGGTCGCCACGGCAGGTGCATCGTCATCCGTCTGAGGCTCGGGAGTATTCTCCTTATCGCCCGCGTCGCCACTCTCTTCCTCGCCTGTGGTTGGTGTAGACTTGCCAGAGGTAGGCGCTTCGGCGGTGGTCTTCTTCACAGATGCGCCAGGACGAGACCGCGTGCCGCTCCGGATCACGCTAGTTGATGCGGTGACTTTCGAGGTCCCACCTGCCTTACGCCCACGAGCGGCACGAGCAGCAGGAACTGCATGCTCGATGTCAGAGGTAGGGATGACAGCTGGACTGTCGTCCTCCTCTTTCACAGTACCTGTGGGTATCCGACTCCGAGCTGTACGGCGCACCTTGGCAGCCGCAGGAGGTGCCTCTTCTGGTGTCAATGAATCCAAAGGATCGTCCTCATTCTCACTTGCGGCTGCCTCGGTCACTTTGCGTCGTGCACCGCGACGCGCCGTACTTGGTTTGGGAACAGGGACGGCTGGTTCCTCAGGAACTGGTGTCCTCGTTACACGCGTGCGCCGTGCAGATGCCGCTGCGCTCGCGGGAGTCGTGCGCGCAGCTTCCGGTTCCGCGCTTGCAGTGCGAGTGCTACGGCGGACGGGCTTGCTACTAGCGCCTGCTTCATCCTCACTGGCGTCACTTCCCGCCCCGGCTCTCTTTCTGGTGGTAGATTTCGTTCGGGTTGGCTACAGCTACTCGTCAGGATCTGGCAGTTCACAAGTCATCACAACACGTACCAGCTCGGGGACTTCGTCGTCTTCTTCGGTCCTTGCATGGCGAGAACGTGTACCTCGGGGAACGCTAGTGCCAGAAGTCTCCTAAAGGGGAGTTACAGGAGCTATTGATACAAACACGGCGAATGAGGCGTACCTGATCACTCTCTGCAGTGCGCGTTCTTGTTCGCCGCACTATTCGCGCAGCAGGACGCTTGTCCCGAATGGATGCAGCTACTTCATCTTCCTCTACAGGAGCAAGGCTACTCGCCAGTGTCTCCTTGTGTACAGCAGCACTTCGAGGCGTCCGCTTCGAGGTAGCACCTTT